AATATATATATATATATATATATATATATATATATCAAAGAATTATTACTCCCTTTACTGATCAATGTTTAGCCTTAAGACCAATAGGTTCATTCTAAAAAATAAACTGATCAATTATGTTTGTCAATAAATAAGCACAGCTCCTGCTAACGAACAGCAGGAGATGTTTAATATAACTATTCATCAGTAGACTTATACTGCGAGAATTGTGTTTAATTAGAGAACATAACATTAATTCAGTTATGTATTATAAAACTTTTGAGCTATGAGGCAAACTTAAAGTATTAAACTGTGGAAAGCAAACTGGAAATGAACTGTCGGTTAACCCTCAGAGATCAAAACGTTATTTCCGGTTCGCTTTCCACAGTTTATTATTATGATATTGTTTCCTTACATGTATGATAAAGATTAAAACAGATTATATTAGATCGTCAAGAAATTAATGTCGCTTTTTTTAGATGAAAAAACCCGAACAACTTATATATCAAAACAAAACATTTATTAAATGAAGTAGTCGCCATTCTTATTGGTGATGCTTTTCCATCTTACAATCAGGTTGTTAATGCCCTGATTAAAGAAATCACTTGGCTTTGAAGTAAAACACATGTCGATGTCCTCTTTAACACCTTCCACATTTGCATACGTTTTCCCATTGAGATGGTGTTGCAGCGAATTAAAAAGATGGTAATCTGATGGTGCCATATCTGGAGAATATGGTGGGTGGGGGAGAACTTCCCAACCCAACTCCATAATCTTGTGTTGCATCAAACGTGCCACATGTGGACGTCCATTGTCGTGGAGAAGAACACCTTTCCGATTGACGAGTGAAGGGCGTTTCTGATGAAAGACTTGATTTAAACGTTAATTTAAACTATAGATCTCTGCATTGACAGTTTGCTGTGGATTGAGGAGTTCGAAATGAATTACTCCTTTGATGTCCCACCAAATGCAAAGCATCACTTTCTGCGGATGGAGTCCAGATTTGTGGGTCAGAAGTGGTTTTTGTCTAGGACTGAACCATTGTTTTTAGCATTTAATATTCGCATAGAGAATCAATTTTTCACACCGGTGACAATTCTGTCGAAAAATGGGGTCACGCGCATTATGCGCCAGAAGAG